ATATATATGGTTATCACCTGCAGCTGGGGTAAGAGCAAGCGTCTCCTTCATGAACTGAAAAATCTGTAAAGTTAAACTTGTTATTTTGGACTGGAAAATACAATCTTGGACAGAAGCCATTTTTAGTTTCCTATTTGCACATTATTTTTTTGTTTAAATACTGCTAGTGCCCTAATTTGCATTACCTAATATTTTCATTTCATTTTTATTCTGACAGTTCAATTGAGTAATGTTAAAAACACATTGGATTATTTTCAAATTTATGTTTCCTGGGTCAGTATTTTTATTTGCTGTGGGACTAGACAACAGGTTGATTATTAACACGTGGGCAGACTTGGGAAAGTGAGGTACTGAAGCCTAGAACAGGAGGTTTGCCCACAGGAAGTGGAGATGGGAGTTATTTAAATAATCGTTGACTAATCGACTAATCAAAGAAGAATTTTTAGATCAGTCACTTACCAAAATTGTCTTTAGTTGCAGCCCTAGTATGCACACATATTCAGTTTGGTACAAAGAGGAAAGAAAATTGCAGATGGCCCTGTGAAATACATATGGACTTTTGAAAATTTTTAACCTCCTTCACAATAGAATCTTCAATACTATGACTTTGCAAAAAAAAAGTTTGTATTCAGAGGCATGTGAACAGAAATCAGCCAAAATAAAAATGCACTATATGAAAAAACAAGACCTTTTAAGCATTTATTTCTAAACTTTACTCATGCTTGCTGTTCTCTGTCTTCGCATCTGGAAGTCATACATATTTACGTCAAAGCATTTTGGTACCATGAAAAACCAATACATCCACTCAATGGCATGCTGCCACTCACATAAGCAAATGTGCATGAGCCAATTCTGGAGTTGTGTCTACTTCAAGCAGCTATAACAAGTTTTCTGAACAGATAACCTGGCTTTCCAAGTTTGAAAAGATAATGAATGACCTTGTGTAATGCAAATTGGTAACTCCTTTATTAAGCCTAATCTAATTAAGATCCCCCTTCACACATTATTAAGGGAGGCCAATAAACAAATGCGGGTGTGAGAGATTTGGCATGGGAACATAATCATAAACACGTCTTTAATTTCACAGCAACAGCGCTGTGTTGATTGCTGCCATGCTGCTGGCCATATGTCCTTGAAAACAGACAGTAACTGAATCATGTGTAATTTATTAGTTTTACATTCCACACATAAAGCAAATGATGTACAAATGATTTCACCAGTCTAATAAGCTCTTAAACAGACTCCTGCAGTGGGAAGGCCTCAGTATTGTTCATTACTTATCTCAGTGCTGGCAAAAATCTATTTTTTCTTTAAAAAATGCAGTGATAAAAAAAGATGCACAGTAGAGCAGTGGTCCCCAACCCTCGGGCCTCGGACCGGTACCGGGCCGCGAGAGTTGAGGCTCAGGTGTGAAATGTATAGTTTTCAGGGTTTTTATCGGTTTTCAGCGTTATTTTGTTATCGTTTTTATCGTTTACTCGGTTTTCCTGGGTCTTTTCACGTGTGTTATGAATAAATTTTCTTTTTTTCGGTACCGGTACTAGTTTTATTTTGTTGTATTTATCTGCGACACCTTAAAGGCCGGTCCATGAAAATATTGTCGGGCATAAACCGGTCCATGGCGCAAAAAAGGTTGGGGACCGCTGCAGTAGAGCATTTCTTCTCCTTGTGACTTTCTCTCTAGCAACCCCACCCCACCCTCCTCTCCTCCCACCTCAACTTTGGATGAGGGCCTCCCCCATGATGCTTCCAGATTGCGCTCGTAACAATGTGACTGGGCCCCAAAGCAGGGATCCACATTTTCATATCTGAGGCCAATGATAGATGAGGCAATCTGAACAAGTAGTGCTGAGAGATACATCAGGAGGTAGACAGCCCCAGATAAAGGAAAAAGAAGACTGGGCCCCCATTGTCACCCTTTCGCCATTCCTCGGATATATAGTGACTCCCCCAGGACCAATAACTCACATACATATTCAAAAGCTGCAACAGTACTTTGCCACCTCTGGGATAGACACTAAAGCTGCTAAACCAAAAAGCAGTCCAGGAATCTGTTTGCTCTTTTCCCTGTTATACCTACATACCAAGTGCTGGACTACAAGCTTAATGACTGGGCCTCTGTAGGTATACCACTGACAGAATTATGGTTTGTTGTTGGTTATGTGGCTGTTATCCAGTAATGTTTTGCTAAACATGCAGTTTTATGAGGTAGTTGACACTGTCATCAGCTTATATCCTTCAGTGCAATTTAAAACCCTGAATGTTATAGTGATGAATATGAATTATTTATGGCCCAAAGAGACTGTCATTAAATGAAGCTTTTGGTGATTTGACCTGGCAAATTAATCAATGTCTCATCTAATTTATTAAACACACTGCAGGGTCAGAACCTTTTCACCCATTTATCTTTGTCAGAAAGTGTAAGTGCTGAGAAAAAAAAGAACCTGTTAAGTCCTTTTGCATTGTCTCAGTGGTGTTGAAGAAGCTTTTTTAAAAATGTAGTTAGCCAACCTTCAACTGTGTACTGGAAATAATTACAGGATAGGAAGCTCCCAGTGTGAGGACAAAAAATCTAACTTTGTAAAGCAAAAGGCAAGCCCAGTTTAATTGAAATTACTTATTTAGTTCCCTCCTGGAAATCACAAAGAAGGAGGTAGAGATTTCTGAAATGCTAGCATCAGCTGGACAATAAGTGTACTTTTTACTTGGATATCTTTACATCAAAAACTACTGTAATAAAGACAGTGCCAAAAGTATCAGTCACTGCACTTTAATTTTCTTGTGGTTCATGTCTGTCTTTGTCCGTTACCTCAGGATGTTTTCTGTACAATGTATAAATCAATAGCAGAATGGCAAAAAATTACATATAATAAATGTATAATGAAATGTTTCAGGAAGCCAGTTTATTTATGCATGTTCATTCCAACAACATCTGAGCATCTATTCTCAGTCGGCAGATTTGGTGGTCCAATAAAGACTAAAGAATAAACCAGATCCCAATTTAACCCAATTTAAATGGTAAACTGCATTACTGTGCAATAATAATTTGCCTACAACAAAAGGGATTCTAACTGATGAAGTAACTGTCTTACAATAGGAAATAATAGTTATTTATGTTCTAATATTCAATATATGTCTATTAATCTGCGAATGAAGGCATTATTGTGTTAATTGTTAGTCCTATATTGGCTAATGAATCATCAGAATATCATTATAAATGTGTATAAAATCAAACACCTAGGCATGCAGAATACTTGGAAAATTCTCTTGTTTTGCATAGAAATATATTGAACAACATACAAAGCACAATATACAGAATAACATTTTACCTGAGTTTTTTCTTTGAAAGAACCCTTTAATGTCCATTGTTGTATATCAGTACATAACTGAAACCGATTTAGAGTGCTTTATTTAGCCGTGGAGGGTAACAACTGAAAATATGAAATAAACACACATGTAAGCTAAGACTCTCTAAAAAAACAGCATTGTTGTTGTTCGGCTTTTCATTTCGCCATTTGATTCACTCCAAGAGCAAGTATCGTAATATGGGTCAAGTGATCAGTTTGATATCAGTCTTTTGTGATACACCGTCATATTTACATTTGTACAGTGCGAATGATTTGCTTTAGTATCTGGTCAAACTTAAGCTCTCCTCTGTCTGCACTTCTCCTACAGGAAACTCGCAGCAGCTTCTCTCCCCTCGTTCATGTGCGGTGCTCAGTCACCTAGTGCCTGAGCTCGGATCATACCAAAATTAGGGGGAATTTACGCGCAGTCATAAATTCCCACAGTGTGCACTATGTGCTTCGAATAATACTTTTCCATTAAGATCCTGTGTTTTTCTGTGTCTGTGGAGCTCTGGTTCCTCACCTGTCGTTATCACCTGCAATCCATCAACAGCAATCAGCTAGGTGATAGTCTTCACCAGCACAGCCCTCAACTCACCGCCAGTTTGTCAGCTACCTCACGGTGGTAACTAGGCCTCCTTGTAGCTTGTTGCTTTATCCATACCTTGTACTTATCCTGATCTCTTTCTATGCACAGTTCAGTCGTCAAGACCTACAGCTCAAACTTCTGGATGCTTCACCGATTCATCGCTTCGCCCTGCAACCTCTTTGCCTTGGAAACGAAACTACTCACCACTATCACTGTCCTGCCCTCCTACCTGCCATCTTCTCTGGATAAGATTTGAACCTCTCTCGGCTACCTTCCCTGGAGCCTCATGGCTTTGACCTTCAGGTAAGGTCGTAACCACAGAACCCATCTTATTAGAAATAAAGTTTCTCGAACCCTTGTGAAAATTACCAGCTCAGAGCATTGTTGCTAAAGTACATTAGGTCAATCAAAGAAACAAGACAGTACTGTTTTGAGTATGAAGTCCTTTAGAGTATAAAGAACTTAAATAAACAAAAGTGCATAAGGTTGTTTCACTGAGTGGTTTGAAGAATTTGAAAGAGCCGTTGACGTGTTTCCAGCGTTTCTTTTGCACTTTTGTTCTGTGATTGTGATTCAGCTTTCTTAAGAGTAACCTTGGTCTACTATATAACAAAACTGTATTTCTTTTCTTTTTGTATCATGCTTTGAAGCCATCCTGGAGAAGTGGAGTAGATGAAAATGCTTTCCCCTTTCCTATCAGAGTTCAGTCTTCATGCTGGCACCTTTGAGCACATTAATTTCCTTTAAAATATAATGTGTGCAGAGGTATTGATGTTGCTTCTAAATTCTTGCAGACTTGCTCCCTTGACAGACAAAGTTTGACAGGAAAGAAAAAAAGCCATCAAATTATAAAATGAAAAAGCCATCCACCTTAAATGCTTTGGTTCTTCCCCAGTACCTTTTATGGTAATTACAAAATATACAATTGAGTTGCGGCCATCAAATTATTATTTTTTTCTTTCTTCCACTACCATCATGGAATGATATTCCAATTTTATGCTCTAGTGCCCTGAAAGACGGCAACAAATAAAAAGACACCCTTTATTATTCTGTATATGATTACATTATTATTTTAGTGGTTACTATGAGATAAAATAATGGGAATGATGGCATAGTATTTAAAACAGACTTGCTTTAAACATGCTGCAAGATGAAATCATTGGGTTAACAAAAAGACTTCAGAATTACTTATAGTACATAATACACTATGTATGCATTACAATAGGTGTGTTTGTGTGGGTTTGTAGCTACTGTTACTAGGACTACTTGGGGTTGCCACAGCACAGTGGGGGTGCTGAATGTTTAATTTGGCAGTTTTACACTAAACTTTTTTATTTAATTAGCCTCTCCTCTCCATATTACCTGACATCAATATCAGAATCAGAATCATTTTGATTGCCAAGTTTGTACAAAAACAAGGAATTTGTCATGGCCATAGTGCAAAAAATATATCAATCAATAAATAAGTGGTACAGAAATACAATATATGGTATTTACAGTTAAAATATACACATCTATATAAATATCAAAACGGTGCAAACGTTTGTGGTAAAACGTTTGTGGTGTGTAAACTGTCTGATATTTCACCATATCAGTAGCCTGATGGCTTGTGGACAAAACCTGGTGGCTGGGATCAGAGATCATCCACTGGGCCTTTCTCCTACAGTACATATTTAATATGAAATAACAGAGAAATAGAACATCAAAAAGTGTTGTCAGTTTAAAG